AAATCCGGGTAATCATGCTAGGTATAGTATCAGAGGAGATTCCAGCCGGGCTTAAATGCATTTGGGCTTTCGATTTATTCCAATGCCCCAATAACAATGACAGAGCAAATAATGCACAGAGAAATGTAACTTTGAGCTCATTTATCCTTTCATTTGGGCAACGGTGAACCGTAAACCATGTGAAACGGGCAACGGCCAGCGGCCACTGACGACCTACGACCTACGGCGACCTGTGCGACCTGCGATTGCCATTGCCACCAGGAAGGAAGGGGGGAGGCTATCAAAGCGCGAATGCCAAAAATGCAACGCCAACCAAACGGAAATGTAGAAAAACAATGGAAACCACAGCAAAGAATGTTTTCATACCTTTTAGTCAGCGCCAGCGTTTGTGTGCGCATGTACATACATGTGCATGGGTGTGCGAGTGTGCGTGTGTGTATGCATATGTATGTGGCAGGGTGCACATATGTAGCAGCCGTTAAATATTTGCGCGTTGCGAACAACGCGAGTTGCGGCAACAGATTTCCAAATGCACCAGCAAGATAAAGAGAGTGAGGGAAAGAAAGCAAGCGAAAGGGAAACAGAGACGAAGAGACACTGAGTGAGAGTGACTGAAAGAGAGAGAGAGAGGGAGAGAGAGAGAGAGTCATCGCATAATTTGCGCCGACCAAAATCTCTGCAATATTTTGCTGGCCATTCACCTGCATCTGAGTCCATTTGGGAGCCATTCCGAACTTTTCTGCTCATTTGAATTGTTAACGTTTGTTGCTGTTGGCGGTTGTTGTCGGTTGTTGGTGTTGCTGTTGTTGCTGTTGTTGTATTCCGTTTGTGGGATTACAAGTATTTTTATGTATTTTTTTTTTTTTAATTTAATTTTATTTTTTTTGCACACTTTAGGGTAGTGTATCAGCAGTTTGTTAGCAAATCCGCAAAGCAGACATCAGTGGGGTATATCAATAGCAATATCGAGTCAATTTAATGGAAGAGATACACTCAGGATAAGGACAAATTGAATGGAAGAGATATATTGAGGACAAATAGAAAGTTTCGGGTCACCAATAGAGAGAGATTATCTGAGGAGTTATTGTAGAAATATCAGAGGAAATTCCATTTGGATGCAAAAAAGTTTGTGAAAGTCATATAAAGTGGGACTCATTTAGATATGGTTAACTATTTTTTTAGAAATATATTTCCAATTGGAATTAAATAGAATTACCAATCGATACTGGGAGAGGATCAGTTCTGAAATACAAAGCAAAGAGAGAGCTATATCACTGTGATAACATTGCCTGTATATGTTATATATATGCTATTAACATTAGCCATAATGCTCTGATTAGAATGGTGTTCATTTTACTTGCTTTTTCATTTATATTTTGTTTATTATTATTTCGAGCTACTAAAAATAAAGATACCATAGATAGTCCAAGACAATAATATGCTAAAGGCATATTAGATATTATAATAAAATAAACTAAGAAACTAGTTAAGGCAAGGAATATAACTCTGAAATGTTTGAAATGTAATTTTATATTATTATTATAATTTTAATTTTTTATTTATTAAAATTTTATTATCACAATTCAAGCATTTTAGTAAATAAAATGCTAGAAATTTGATTTATTTTCATATTAAATAACTAAATAAACAAATTTTAAAATAATATTTACTAACTAAATACATATTAAATAATAAAATTATAATTAATAAAAAAAGTAAAAGCGATTATAGTAATATAAAATCATTCTATGCATTTATTACAATAATTTCTCAGTGTATCTCTGCCTCTACTCTGATCTGATTGGCCTATATCTCCGAGCTGATAATAATCATGAAACGAGGGCAATTTCATATTCGGCGTGCCACAGAGAGAAGAGACAAGGCATTAAAGCCTTGTCAGTGGAGTTTGACGGCGTCAATAACGCAAACAGCAAAGGCGAAAGGCAAGCGGGGAGTGGGGTGCGGTAACAGGTGGTGGGTCTGCATAAACAAGTTAAATATATTATCACATAATTAAAAAGTTTGTTATGCCGCTTCTCAAGGCGACGCCAAAGGGGCTGAGCTGGACTGGGCTGGGCTGGGCTGGGTACGGGCTGGGTACGGGCTGGAATTTGTTGTAGGTGTTGCTAATTAAGCGTGCGCCAAGACACACAGCAGTTGCACGGTTGCTGTCATGTGAGTGGCTTTAATTGGTATCATCATAAAATTTGTATATGCACACACACACACACATGAACACACATACTCATGCTCATCACTTGCATAATTGAGACATAAAGTTTTGGCAAATGAAGCGACTCAGAGAGATGATTGTCGTTACGCATAAAAGCCAAGCACCTGAGGGTTGACAGCCACCCATAGACATAGACATATACATATACTAATACATATACATATGTATGCTTATATAAATTTTATATATTTTTTGAGTAATTTCTTAAGCTGTTCGCTAATTTGCATACCCGCTCGAACATGCTCCTCATTTTATATTTTTTAATTTAATTTAATCCTTCTTTTTGTTCCGGCTGCCAGAGCAGGAGCTGAGGCGCTGGCTCAGCTTTATCGCCTTAATTGAAGCAACGGCAAATGAGTAGCTTGAGCTTGGCGTATGTGCTGCGAAATACCGCGTAGTTAGGTACGGATAGGCACTGTGGCTCTAGCAACTGTGGCAATCATTCAACAAACGTGGCCAATATCTCACTTTGGGCATTTCTAATGCACTATAGGAACCTGCTTTGGTCTATATTCCAAAATGCAGCTATATAAGTATGTACATTGATAAGTCTCGTACGTGAGTCGAAGTATCCTTTGTTTCGCTGAACTTCTTTCTGCTTTCACTCAGCCAGTTTGTCAATCAGTCAATGCGGTTGCCAAGGGACTTTTTGTTGCTCGTATGAAAAGTGTTAATATGCGAGGCACGCAGAGTGGGGAGAGGGAGAGAGAGAGAGAGAGAGAGAGAGAGAGAGAGAGAGAGAGAGAGAGAGAGAGAGAGAGAGAGAGACAGAGAGAGAGCGAGAGCGAGTGAGTGAAAGTGAGAGAAGTAATGAGAAGTAACGCTCGTATTTTGAATGGGATTCGCAGACAGCATCTCAAGTGCTTTCGCAGTCTCCATGCAGCTAAGCTACTCTTGAGTAGCTGCCAAAGACATATGAGTGTGTGTGTGTGTGTGTGTGTGTATGTGTGTCTTACTATGTTTGTTTGAAATTTTATCAAGCGACGCAAGTAATGGGTAACATTTTTAATTATTCAGTGCCGCCACACATTCACACACACACACTCATACACTTGGTAACGGCATTTGGGGTAGTCGAAAATGGTGCTGCATACTTCAGGGCGCCAGCAGACTGCTAATTTGCTATGCAAGCCATCTTTCGAATTCTTCTAAGTAGACACAAACAAAATGATTAAAGCTTCGCCCCAGACACCAACCAAATCTGGGCGTGGCCAGACGAAATACGCAGCCCAAACGCTCAGTCGGCTGCGAGAGCTAAATAAGCTACTACTATTGCGGTTACAGCTGGAAAGTATTCGAACATTTCGACTCCGATTCCACTCAGCCGCACTCACGGCATCTTTGACTTCTTGCACATGGCAAAGGGGAGAGTGAGTTGAGCACAAACGATTTCGCTTTGTTAGCCATAAGCCGTTGTCTGGTCTGCTGCTCCGCTGCTCCGCCGGTCTGCTGGTCTGCTGGTCTGGTGGTCCGCTGCTTCTGGCCTGGCTGGCTGCTGGTTTGCAGCTTAATTGGTTGCCACAATGTGAAATAAATTGAGCGGAAAATTACGTAGCCCGCCAATCTAAACCGCAGCTAGATGCCACTCACCTCGTCTCCAATACACTGCCACCTTTGCCAACTGTCCCGATTGTGTCGTAAAAAGTGGCAAGCAATTTGTATTGCCCGGCTTCTGACCCTGAACTGAACCGAATGGGTCGCCGCTCAGCTGAGCTGAAAGCTTTAAAGATGAGAGCCAACTCAGGAATTTAAAGCCAAAAACATGTGTTGAAAAGTGCCCAATGACAACAAAATATAGTCTTAGCGGTATTTCGCTAAATATAGCTTTATTTCCCGCTAGACTTGGCCTTTTCCCCCACTAGATTATGACAACTAAATATAGTTTTAGCAGTATTTTCTGCTAGATTTATCACTATTTTTCTCCCGCTAGTTTTAGCTTCATTTCCCGCAGGAAATCTTTACTTTTGCATGTCTATGAATTTAAAGCCAATTTAAAGGTTGTGCAAAAGGTATAGCAACTATAGAGTTTTAGCGGCATTTCCCGCTAAATTTAGCTTTATTTCCCGCTGGTGGAAAAGTGCCGATTGACAACTAAATATAGTTCTAGCGTTACTTCCCGCTATATTCAGCTTTATTTCCCGCTAGATGTAGCCTTTTCCCCCAAAAATTTCACAGTTTGCCATTGTTTTTAATTTCCATAATGATTTTATTAATTGTATTTCTTTAATTAAATAGTTCTGATCATTGTTTTCTGTTGTTTATATTTACTTTGTTTTCGTTTTTGGTATTTCGTTGAAATCTTTTGCCTGAAATCAAATTTTGCATTACAATTTATTACACGGAATTTAATTACTGCACAAAATTGTTCCATATATATCTATATGTATAACTACATATATATAGTTATAGCTATGTTTATGCAAAATTCAAATTCGTCAAGCGGATTTCACTTGGCTTTTTCTATTTATACACAAAGTTTTTTTTTTTTTTTTTTTTTTTTTTTTTTTTTATTGTATTATTATTTTTTTGGTTTTTTTCTTTCATTTTTTGGTATACATCAATTATACTTTACGATCAGCTTTTATTTGTTTTTTATTTTTATTTTTATTTTTTATTAATTAAATATTATAATTTTTAAATATCAACTTTAATTAAAAAAAAAAATATATGTGCTACTGGACATTTGCAAATGAGTAGATCTCTAAGACTAATGCCACGTCGTAGTGGCGCTTATGCGACGACGATTTTTATTTATTTTATAATTATATTTATTTTTATTTTTATTTTCTTTCATTTGACAACATTGTAAGATCTTGGAGTTAGCGATACTGTATGTGTGTGTGTGTGTGGGAGTTCTATAGAATGCTATTAGATCGGGTTGAGACTGTTGACAAGTCACAGTTCGACTATGAGCTGTAACTGCTCCTGCTAAAACCATCGACTCGATTCAGTGATGCTGAAACTCGTAGCCAATAATGCTGTCATTCACTTAAGTGGTAAAGCTTTATGGACTAGACAAAAAAAAGTTGTTTTGTATGTTGTTACAGTTATTTATAGGTGTTTTGCATAGTTATCCATTTATGTGTATATATATATATATATATATATATATATAGGTTTATTACGTATACGTAGATTAAGTAGTATTTAGCTTACATTGCACAGATTTATACACATTTAAAGTACATACCACACGCATATCGAAGCACATGAAAACAGTAAACAAATTCACGAACATGGATTACGGCTTAGGAACTCATATACAACGGCTCTTCGCATTAACTCTCGACTACCATTTCTCCTCCCTCCTCTTCTTCTTCTTCTGCTTCTTCTTCTTCGACCACTCCAAATCGCTGCTATACAGTAATTTACAATTGTAAAAACAAGAGAACGAAATGATAACGAAGAGTAAAACATCTAAATGAGATGAGGATCCTATATCATAAACATCGAGAACAACTACAAAAAAAATTATATATCTATATATATATATATGTCATCATATGCGATGCTTTTCGAATCTAGAATTCGTAGTGTTGCGGGTTACTCTCTCGTTCTTCGTCTTCTTCTTCTTCTTCTTTGGGGCTTGCTTTCACATCTATCCGCAACTTCTTAAAAATATCTAAAATTCTACTGCAAACGTTCTCAGCTCGCTCAGTGCCTCGTCGATTTGCGATTTAGAGGCGAAAGCGTTTCTGAAAACGCCCCACCTTGGCTCTTCGCACCATCCATTTGCTAGTTGAGTAATTTTTGCTATGCTGCTACGGCTATACACACGTAAAGTAGTTTTCCATTTATAGTTAATTCTTTTCATTTATATATTATTCTTTTGTTTTATTTATTTTTTATTATTTTTTTTTTTTAGCTTTGAGTTTGGCGAACTCCAACAAATTCTACTAAAATCTTTTTGCTTATCATTTGCATACAAAAAAAAAAAAAAAAAAAAAAAAAAAAAAACACGAATTTCTTTCGTATGGCCTATAAAATGTATATACAGAAATGTACACTCAGTAACCCACGCCCCCTCCCCCGCCCCCGCACCCGCTGCCGTCCATTGCCCCGCCCAAATCCCGATGCCCGCTCCCATTATCGTTGCCTTGCAGTGGCTCGTGCTGCTTCTCCGCCGCTCGCCCCTCGTCGTGCTCGTGGCACTAAAGAACTGCGGAGCCGCACCACAGAACCTGACCTCAATATGGCCTCCAGACGCTGCCCCCGTTGTCAGTTGGGTTGTGGTGGCCGCGATGGGCAGCGAGCGCGGCCACCTGGCGGTTGGTGTTCCCGTCCTCGATGTTGCGCACCGATGCGCCGCAGTTGCCGATCAGCGTGAGGTCGCCCGGGTGCGCCACGCCCCCGCCGGCCATGATGTTGTGCTGCTGCCGTACGCCCACGTTGCTGATGTGATCCATGACGCTCTGCAGCTCGCCGTGCACGGACGAGTTGGGCGACGCGTGCGCCGGCAGCGTGTGCGAGTGGAAGCCGTGCGCCGACTGATTGGCGGCAGTGTACAGCTGCGAGTAGAGCAGGCTGGCCGGCAGCACCGGATACAGCGAGCCGTTGCAGCCGGCGGCCGTGGCCCCAGCGCCGCTGCCGTGCCCGCCGCCCACGCCCACACCGACGCCGACGCCGACGCCGCCGCCATAGGCCGAGGCGGAGGCATGCTGGGCCTGGTTCACAATGCCCGGAAAGTTCTGATTGGCGCCCAGCATGGCGGGATTGACGGCGCCGGCTGATGCTCCGGCTGCTCCACCGCTGCCCGCGCCAGCTGCACTCGCCGCACCGTTGGCGGCACCACCGTTGCTCGCACCGGCGCCAGTGCCGCTGCCCAGGTTGGGTGTATTGGTGGACAGCAGGTCCTCCTGCACCGGCGACTCGGCCTGCGAGCTGTCGCTCAGGCTGCGCGGCCCATTCTGGCTGGAATGCACATTGTACTCGTTGCTGGCATTGGTGTGGTATCGCGGCACCAGAATCGAATTGGCCCCACCGCCGCCGCCGCCGGCGCCCGTTGCGCTGCCAGCGGTGGCGCCGCTGCCGGCGCTCGCCCCGTTCACCGTCGATGTTATGGACGTCTGTCCGCTGGCGCCCAGCAGGCTGTGGTGCGACATCTGGCCGCTGGTCGAGCCGACCAGGCTGCTGAGATGCTGGTCCAAGTCACTGGCCGTCGAGTCGGGCAGCACTGCGTCAAAGAAACGAGGTGGATACAAGTAGGAGAAGGTATTAGTGCAAAGCCTGACTCGTATATGAATATGGAAACTAAGCCAAGTGGCTGGAGGAGGCGGTGTTAACCACCCAACAGGTAAGAGAGAGAGAGAGAGAGAGAGAGAGATGATGACATAAATGAGGCCCTACTCTGAGTTTTGAGATCTATTTTTGTTTCTTTTCCATGAAATCTTAAGTTAAATTACGACTATCAATTGATGGAAGTTTATAAGAGATTTCTCGTATGATATTCTAGAGAATCGTTTGAAGCTCTTTGAAGTTATTGAAACACAGTTATATATATCTAACTCATTCCACGATTGAACAACTCTAGCAGTAAACATGGGTTCCTAGAGACATCCAGTATATATGTATATATAGTGAGATATGTATATATATGCTCCTAATACTTTTTTATTCCATATGAATAATTATATTATTGAATCATATTATTGAATACTTCACAGCCTAAATTGAGCCTGTATTTATAAGAAATTCTTTGGTACACTCTATCAAGAACCAAATATATTAAGTGCTTGGAACAGACAAACTTGAATGGAATATTCATGATGGCGCTGTATTTTTTTTTTTTTTTTTTTTTTTTTTTGACAGAGACGGACACGTTTTGGCTTATCATGATCAATTAACATCGACTGCATTAACCTTAATTGTTTTGCAATATAAATGCGAGGACGAAGAATAGGAGATTGTTCTTATAGAAAAAGTTCCAAGTATATTCGAATCAGGATTAGTTTAACTACTTCGTGCTTTACTTTAAGCTTTTGCACTTATAAGAAAGTACGAGGTATAAGACATTGCTCTTTTTACTTTTCTAGAAAAACAAAAGAACTACAAGTTAATTTCAATACTTGACAAGCTGATAAATTCCTTCCATGATCCATCATGCATGATTAATAAACATTGATGGTTTTTTTTTTTTTCGATTCTGCTTATAGGGCTTTTCTATACTTAATAATCTGGCAAGCTTCTTGGAATACCCCTTCCATTTAAAAAAGAAAACTCTCTCATGATCAATAACCTTCCAATATCAATAAATCAATTGGTAATCTCAACTTACTTGGCACACAGTCGCGATTGGTGGCGCCACTAAAGTCCTGGTTGTTGGTCTGATCGTTGGACGAGCAGGTGAAGCCCAGTGCCGGATTGTTGAACTGTGCTGATGTGGGCGTGGTGCAGGAGGAGAGTCCACTGCTGGCCAAGTACGGCGAGTAGGCAGACGCCGCCGATCCATAGCCCCAATGCGTGTTGCTGGCACCTAAACCAAATTGGGACATATCTTTCTTGTTGATATCGTTTATGTTTTTGTTTTTGGTTTTCATATATGTTAGATTGTAGTATGTGTGAGAGCGAGATGAGGAAAAAAACAAACAAAGAGAAGAGCGTGATCAAAACTAGAATACGCAGCAGATGAAGTATACGAGCAGCATGTGGACTCAACTCAAAAGAAGAAGCGCAAGCAACCAAAGCGAACCGAAACGCAATGCAACACAGCACGTCCGGCTGGACAAGTTACCGAACATGGCGCACAATCATCAGCGATAAGCGCATACAGTGTACACCTACATATGGACATGCGTATCTCCCTATTTCCTATCACCTATCAGCTACCCTGCATGGCGCTCAAATTTATGGCGCATGTGGGCCGCTAATTGCAGCTCCATCATGGCCATTATGCGGGACTTTGGCCGGAGCTGTGCATAAAAATTACAAACGTATCTGATGCGACGGACACATGCCAGCGCGATAACGTTTCAATGTAAACGCCACAAACATGGAAAGGATGATGAGAGTGGGGACGCGGGGGCGTGTACGGCCCCCAAAAATGCCAATGTTAGGCGGCGACTTTGTCGAGCCCGGTGAGGAGAAAAGAGGAGGGGGGAAGGGGGGGGGTGTGTGTGTGGAGGGAGCATGGCTGGGGTCGGAAATTTGGTTTCGGATAAAGTACAGACCACGTTGCGGGTCCAGACTCATGCACAGATAATTAGGCTTAATTAATAGCCCATTCGGAAATTATTAATTAGTTTTTATAGGCGACGGGCGCATTTTCGTATCCGGATATTGATTTTGTGGTGGCTTTATTAATGCTATTGGCTTAAATGCTTCTACCTCCATTAATTACGTTGCTTTTTGTGTACAGCTCGCTGCTGTTGCTGCTACTCTCTGTGGTTGTTGTTGTTTTCATTTTATTTATACTCTTTTTTTTTTTTCTTTTTTTTTTTTTTTGTTGCTGGCATTTCGGTCTGCTGTCTGATGTTTGTTGTCCCACAGATTGACTTTCTCTGCGCATATTTTGTAACTGAATTATTAACAAGCCAGCACGATTTATATCACACACACACACACACACAGACACAGGCAAACAAACAAAACCAAATCCAATTGAGGAAAATTGCACACGCGTTGCGCCCAAGGAAATTTCACTCTGAATCAACATAAGTTTGCGACAGAATAAAAAAAAAAAATAATAATAATAATTATAATAATAAAAGAAAATTATTTAAAAATTAATAATAAGAAAAAAATTTTAATTTTACATACAAAACTTTTCTGTATGCGTCAAAGCATATTTTATTAAATTTTATTTTATATATGTCAAGTCTCAGTCGAGTCGTTGCTCAAGATAAAAATAAAAATATAAAATATATTGATTCAGAATTTTTAATTACTTTTATGATACTTAATAATTTGAACTAATTCTAAAGCAATTTTAAAAGCGAATCCTTGATCATTTGAATAGGTTACACTACGAGTGTCTAGTCGAGCCCTATATACGGGATTGTCTATATGCAATGGACCCATCTGACAGCCATATATCTCTTAACAGAGACGTGCACTATACGCCGTAAAGGCCATTTGATATACATATATCATTTTCATAAATCTATATCCACAAAGCTACTTAAGCCAAAATAATAATTTAAAAAAATAATACATGGGTCCGTCGAATATGGGCCGCCTGGTAGGGCTGTCAGATGGATCCGTCGAATATGGACAGCCCTGTATAGTCTCACAGGCCAAGCGTTTCTTCGGCTTTACTCAGCATAGCTCGCTCAATCGCTCATGCTGTCAATTATATTTGTCATTTATGATATATACATATATATATAAATACATACATATATATGTATAAATCTCTGCGGCAATAGACGCATTGCCCTCTGGCATCGGCAATGCATGAATATTGCTTAATATTTTTTTTATGTACATATATAGCTTTTATTTTATTTCAGTGCATTTTCTTATTGCGAAATTAATAAAATATATACCAGTAATTAAGTCAAGCAGCGACTGTCAATAAAATTTGTTAATAAATAATTCAGGTTATTTTGCTTTTTGCATATTTACAATTAAATTATGGGTAATCAGCAACAACAGACGCTTTCAGTAATCATTATTTACACACGCACACGCGGGCAGCGTGGCTATATATACACACACGTGTATATAAATGTATATTAAATTGATGTATATATAGAGAAAGAGAGCGAGTGAGATAGACATAGATTGCAATGTCGCCCGGCCAAATGTCAGGCTGTAAATCGCGTAATTTGCATTTTGATTTGTGCGCTAGACAATCGAAGGCGGGGCTGGGCTGGGCTGGCCTGTTCGAGACAGTGGGCGGGGCAATTAACAGTTGAATATATTTTGTGCGCTGATTGAATTGCATTTGCCTTAAAGTCTCACCTCTGTTGACATTTCACTCTCATCTCACCTCAAATGAAAAGCAAAAGGAAATTTAAGTCAATTAAAGTCGCTGTCACATTTGACTAACCATTAATCGCTGGCTTTGCATCTCTTTTATTTATTTATTTGCCTTGTTTTTTTGTCAGTGTTTAAATCAATTAATGCGCCATTTAAATGGAAACATCAAATTTAATATGAATTCTTAAATGTATTATTAAATTAAATTCACCTACAACACAGACAACTAACCAAAAAAAAAAAAAAAAAAAAAACCAAAAACTAACCCACAATTTTAATTATTGATTTATAATTCTCACCAATGCAGCCAGTTGGGCGACCAATAAATTTAACAAGCTTAAACTGTTTGAGCTTAGACAGCAAATCGATAGATCAAGCTGCAAATTCAATCTGATTGCTGTGCTCGGTGCTTGTGATCTAAGGATCTAAGGATATGAGCATTTCAGGTTCAATGCAGAATTTCATTTGAAAGTTAAAATAGGTTCTAAAACTATGCGATTACGATATTATATCGTAAGTTAGTAGAGCCAGGGCTATGTTTTTGCAAGAGGTTTTTGTGATAAAGTATAGGTCTTTATGTCCAATACTTAGAATAAGAAAAACATTGCCATCGCTCTACTATCTTATTGAAAAAGAAATGCTATTAATGTAAGCATATTATGTAATATGTAAATCTTCTATATAGAATACATAAATATTTAGATGAGCTGCTTGAAACAAGTCTCATGAGTCACAATTTGAATTATATCGAATAGCTTTATAAACTATATACATACATACATACATATATAAGCTGTGAACCACTGTATATATATTATTCATCTAAATCAGCTCAATTCAAGTCGTCACGCAGTCAATCGTGGAAACTGTGATGCTAAATTGAAATAAAAAATTCTTCTGGCTGTTCTTTATGCCAATACAAAATGGCGACAAACACACGCAAACCTACACACACACACACACACTAACACACACACATATCAAAGCAGATAAAAAAGCAATGCAAATTGTTTGACGCCTGCGTTTTTTATGACGTTTGTCGAGTGTCATTGTCGATGTTGTTGTTGTTGTTGTTGCTGCTGCTATTGTTGTTGTTGAGTTTGACCAACGTTTATTTGTTTATTAAGCTTTGGTTAAATAAAGTGGCCAACAGTTTAATAGCCAGGCATATCAATAACAACAGCAGCAGCAACAACAACAACAGCTACAAAAACGATTTACTAATACCCTATATTAAAGGGAGAAATAATAATAATAATATGTATATAATTAATTTAAAAAAAAAATTATTTGTTTTTTTTATTATTATTTTCAGTATAAAAATAAATGTATTTATTATTTTTTAATTAAAAAAAAAAATTATTTATTTTATTTTTTATTATTATTCCCGTATGTATTTTAAATAAAAAAAAAAAATATAAAAATATATATTAATTTAAATGTTTATTTTTTTTATTATAGTTTATATCAAATATACAGAAATAATGAAATTTAAATATAATTTTTTTTCATCATTATTTATTTTTTTTTTTTTTTCCTTTATCAAATACTTTTTAAAATTAATTTGTAAATTTCACCTATTTCTCTTCACTAGGTTTTGTAAATTGTAGAGTATTTTGCAGTCGTTGCTCTTGCACTTGTGCATTGTGTTGCCTACTTTTTGGCACCCGCAAAGCTCAATTTAAAAAATATATAAATATTTATAATTGAGCGCCTAATTAATGCAGTCGCTTAAAGCGACTGTAAAAATTGATGTCAAGATTTATTTTATTATTTATTGTTTAATCGCACGTGCATAGTTTGCTTTCGCACTGCATTGCATTAAATTGCATATATTTAATTATTGTTTCGCTTTTTTTTTTTTTTTTTTTTTTTACTCGCATTTATGTTGTTGTCTCTTTCTGTCCATCGCTTTTGGTTGGCCGCAGGCTTAAAAACTGACATTGTATTTTTGTTATTGTTTGCGCTCTCTTTTTTAAAGCCTGTCCCCTAATCGTTTCGTGTGATTTTATGTGGTCGCATTGGGGCACACCACATAGCCCGCATGCACCACCGCACCACCCACCTCGTCCCTCGCCGGGCGTACGTTTGTTGCATGCGTTTACAGCTACTCAAGTGCGAAACGAAAAATGAAGCCGAAAAGCAATAATTGAAATGCAAATGCACTCAGCATCAACTCTTGCAAAAATCCATCAAATTTATAAATATATATAGCATATATGATAGGTAAATATATGTATGTTTGTTTGTTTGTGATCAAGATGAATTGCTACTCACTCTGACAGTTGCCAATGGGCGGCATGCGGAAGCCGGACAGTGGATCCGTGGAGAAGTGGAACGGTCGCTGGCCAAATGCAAAGTGGAATTGTTGTTGTTGCCCTAAAAGGGATAACACTAAGTTTTTTTCAGTTTTAATTATCTGTCCTTAACTAAATGTTTACTTTTGCATGTATTTTGTATTCGAGTTTGTGTTGAACGAGTGTTGAACGGTGTAAAAAACAAGAGGCATGTGCATATATCTATAGCTAGTCTACACTGTACAGTCTATATTTACTCATCGGATTTAGTCTATCCTAGTTATTAGACCTCGCCCCACCTCTCATATATCCGTAAAGACCATTACTAGAGAGTAATAATAAATGCATTTCTGGAATGTTAGCCTCAATCTTAATATCTTGGGACTTGATCGTCGATCCTAAATACCTGACGAAGCCTTTAAATTTTGCAACTGTTAAGACATTTGAGCACGAATTAAGTGGGTTAATTTATTTCTAAAAAGCATGGCTCGCAAATAACAGTGGAGTGTTACTCGATGCCTTCCAATAAGAGACTTTCACTCACACTATTAAAAAGGAAACACAGAGAGGAACACAGAGAGCAATCGATTGCTTTGCTTGCATCGGTTCTTTAACGAATTCATTCGCGATCGGCTTATAATCGTTATATGCCGCTCAGCTTTGGCTGACTTAAGCGAAGCAAAAGCTCGTGTGTATATGTATGGGTATGTATGCGTGTGCTGTGATCGCTCAACACATGGATAGCTTAAGTGAATTGAGCGTGTGCATGTGAATGTGAAGAGCATGGATCTCATTGAGTGAATGTCAATCGTCTCTCTCTCTATATATATGTACATCTCTCTCTCTCTCTCTCTCTCTCTCTCTCTCTCTCTCTCTGTCTCTCCCTCTATCTCTATACCTGAATGATGTTCGTGGTAAGAGCATCACACGAATAGCTCAGCTCAAGGTGCTCAACAGAATACGAATATGAAAACGAAACGAACCAAAGTCTGTTGCTCATAGACAGAAAGAGAGAGTGACTGAGTGAGTGAGTGAGTATAATCCTATATTCATTTCCCGAACAGAGCGTAAAGCATCAGATGACCAACTGTTATGTGCTAAGCTAAGCTATGGTCAATTGCTATGAAGTAACTTCAGAGTTTGCATTTTGAAGAGCCAAAGCTCTGCTATCACTCGGTCTCTCTCTCTCTCTCGCACTCTGCAGTTGAGAAGATAGAAAAGGATTTACTGATCCAGCAGCAGAAGACTCGACAAGTTTGCTACTCATCACTGTGAACCTTTACATTGACACACTCTATGCTCTATAGCTCTATGGTATACCCTACTAGCATAACCTTAGCCTAAGCTAATTATTTATTTAAATATATATTATTTTGATATCCAATAATATCCCATGATATATCCCAGCTTTAATCAAATGGCAAATCGTAACTTTCACTGTGCATTTATTAATGCTGCTCCAAATCATTTAGCGTAAATAGTATCACACCAAGTCGGTCAGCGCCAACTTTAAGCACAAATATTTAATCATTGTTAATTATTTCGGTTTCACTATAGGTGGAAACAAAAATGTATACATAGGTCTGGTCATACTATTATTGAGAATGTTATCAGCTGGCAGACACGCACAGCTCTCACTCCCTCTCTCTCTCGCTCTCTGTCTCCCTCTCTCTCTCGCTCTCTCGCTGTCTCTTTCTGACTAGCGTTCTCTTTCTGCTGCAGCCTTTAGCTATGCTCTTGTTTACAGCTAAAAACTGTCGCCCATTATACAGTTTTCAACTTTACGGCAGATTGTATTCATTATAAAATAATAACCTTTTGTCTGACGTTTGCAGCAGCCTAAGCCCAGCTGTCATTGGGTGTGTGTGTGTGTGTGTGTGTGTGCGTATGTGTGTTTGTGTGCTTGTGTGTGTTTATGCCTCTTGTTTTTCGGACACCAGAGGCCATGGTGTTGCAGTCTGGCTGCTACAGATATAAATCATGCCATGGATTGAATTGTTGCTCTCGGACTCAACAGATTACACTGCCAACAATGACAACAACAACAACAACAACAGCAGCAGCAGCAACTACTATAACTCCTGCAACTGTTGTTCGCACGATAGCCGAGTCTGAGCTCCCTGTCTGTCTTAACATATGCAAAGTAAAATATTTCCATGCTTATAAATATGCATTTGGCAGTTGCTAAACTTGGCGTCGCCTGCGTTTATCGAACTCTCTGCCAGGACTGCAGACTTGAGCAACTGAGAAGGCTGCATGGACTGGAAGATACTCCTTTAAATGTGTCTGCTAAAAGGGTCTCAGCAGTGGATAAGTAATCTACCAACTGCTGCTTATCTTTATGCTATGCCAATGGCTAATGTCCTCTAAAATAAACTTGTGATCTAAGGTTTCTCATATTCTTCTACATAAGAGATAAGAACTGCAATTAGCTGTCTATAAGTAAAATTGAGGTTGATCTGGAACATTCTTCGAGTTACATATAGCGGAAGTTGCTAGAAAGCTTAATGGATCTGGCTAGAATGGAGATTCCGTAGAATGGAATTTCCTTGTAATATGATATAATATATTATCTCAAATATTCTCGCAACAGTGAAAGACCTGGCTGTCTATAAGGCAGACTGAGACAGAGAACTATCTTTCTTTCCACAATTCATGCCAATTGCAATTCATCCAACAAATATATGTAACTAATATGCCTCATTTCTCTGGCAAATTCGCGCTCATACAGAGTATAAGGTAAAATGAAATAAACAATTAGGAAGGCAGCCTAAGCATATGCAAAGAGCTTTAATAAATTCGCTTTCGTTTCGAAAAATTGTTGTAGTTTGTCTCTAGTGTTTTATTGTTATTGTAATATATGTATGTGTGTGTGCGTGTGAGTGTTTGTTTGAGTGTATTTGAGTGTGTTCTTGGCCAGACTTGAACAGACGCTAGTGGACAGAGCTAGTTTGGCTATTGAGTGGCAATAATACTTACTGGTTTTGGAGCGCGGTTCGCGTGGCCCGTCGACAGTCACTTTGATCGCCTTGTTGTAGGTGGCTATGTGGGGTGGATTCGTTGACACGGTGATGGTTAGTGTGAAGCTCTTGCCTGGAACGAGGTCAAAGTAAAACAACACTGAAGTTAACAAATTTACGACACACAGCGCAGCTCAGTAAATGGGCGCTAGGCACGCGTGCCACATTTATGCAGCTCTCGTGCCCCACCCCCTCCCTGTCACAACCACCACACATACGCACACAAAACATCGGTCGATTGTCACATCGTAAAAATCGAATGTAATTTGTTTACTGCATTATTATTAACAGCTGGCAGACAATGCGCATATCCCATGACGCAGAGCTAGTGAACTCTTATGTTTCACTATTTATGCTCATTCACGAACTGAAACGAGTATATTGGCTTTATATGCTCGCCTGTCTGTCCATAGCCTTGCCCACTTTTATATATTTTTAATACAGAGAATCGAATAGAAAATTGAAAATAAAATAGAAATGGCGAATAACTCTACGCCCATAGGGGCGTGGTTAGCCGCAATATTCCAAGCCAATAAGCCGAAAGCCTCGTTAATCGAGCTACAGCTACTGTTCCCCTATTGATGAGCCGCAAATAATATTTACGCCTTGGGGCGTGGCATATTGCGATTACATACTTTTAATTACCAGAATTTATAAGTTACTCTCTGGAACTTTTAAGGATTGGTTAGATGTAATATAACATTGAGAGCGTGACAAATCAAAAAGATCTGCATTAAAAAAAAAAAAAAAAAAAAAAAAAAGTTAATAATAATAATTAATAAATAAACTAATAAATAAATAAAATATTAAAATATTTGTTTTTGTGTGCGTGGTAAAACGGATAAGCAAGATGGGAGCTGGGAGTGAAGATTCTACTAACGAGAACAAGAATGAGTATTATTCAGCTGGTAGTGTCTGATTTAATAATTCGTATTCGTATTTAATTTTTTTTTTAAATTGTAATTCCAATTTAACGGAAACCGTATTCAGTAAAATCCTATCACCTTATCAATTCAGAGAAGAGAAAAAGGATCCCATGCATATATGATCTTAACTTTGCAAGTTTTCTTGGCGATATGCCTATAACAATTCATCAAAAACATTTTGAAAAAACACATTAAATTTTTAAGATTTCTTTTAAGTATCGATTATATGAGAAGGGAACATGCATCGACATTAAATTACTTTTAAATACTCATAGATGATCCATATTACCTATGGATCAACTTCATATTACATACAGGTACACCTGCCCATGGCACTTGACTGTTTTCACACACTCTTTATAGCAAAGTCTAGCGCAAGTAATTTCAATTTAAATTTATAAATCATGGATTCGAGTTAGTAACAAACTGCGCCCCAGCTTCAGGCTTCAGCCTTGGCAAGAATTAATTACAATTCAAACTCATTGTCTGCAACACATGACCCACACACTCATACACACACACCCATACACACACACGTCGGTCGTGGCACTTGAAAGCTAAGATTTATTTCATTTGTGCCACACAGTTTTCTTTTAATTAACTTGTTACGCCTACCGCCAGCCAACTGCCTCCAGACTTGGCTGACTTCTTCTTCTTCTTCTTTTCACTTGCTTTATTTTTTTGCTATTGTCAAGTGTTGCCAGGCCCACGACGGAGCTGCGATTCAATTAAAAGCATTTCACTCAGCTCCCGATCTCTTCCCTCTCACTCTCTCACTCGCTCTCTTTCTAACTGTGAAGACGGCACTTGAGCCGTAGCCTTGGTGCCTTTTTTGCGCTGTCTGTCAATGACAACGCGGCGTATGTGCAATGTCTTCGAGGCATTTCTCGCCTGTTGCCGGCGTTTGCTTTTTAAGTTGACAAACAAAGCGTAAATCATTTCGGCACGCACAACAATAAACCACACAGAGAGAGAGAGAGAGGGGGGGGAAGGCAGAGAACGAGATACACCAAGGCTTACACATGTTGCAGCCACACTCCACTGCGTCTCAACTTGTGTCTTTATCTTTCGCCGTTCGCCTTGGGGTCGTTCAATTTCGTGTATCTCATTCAGCCTCAGCCTCAGGCTCTCCCTCAGCCTCAGCCTCAGCCTGCTCATCAATTTGCCACCCCGCAGTTTGCACAGCAGCGCTCTGCCATACAAAAAATGAACTTCTGAGCGTCTTTTGTCTGTTTGCAGTTGTCTTAAGTGGCATTTTGTCTACGTCCCCCCGCAGTGTGGCCTCGACTCGGCTGTCCTGCTGCTGTTGCAAAATGCTTTTGCACTTTGTCCTCTGACACTGGGTCTTGATTGTCATCAAGTTTAGCTCATTGTTGCGCAATTTTTCTTATTAATTCGTTTTTTATGTCATTTCCTGTTGCCTGTTTCTTAGGCATGAAAAAAATAGCATTTAAGCAATTCAATGCACAATAGAAATTAGCTAGGATGATGATAAAATATATCCTGTTATGTGAAAATATATGTGTTATATTTTCATATAATTGTTAATTCATATCCAAATTTAAATGTAAATTCAAAAATAAAATGAATATAAAATTATATTCTGTATCATATAAAAAAAAAAAAAAAATCAATAAATAAATAAATAAAAATCTTTGTTCAATACAAATGTATATACAATATATACATATACATAAATATATATTTATTTTTTTAAATTTTAAAATGTGTCTTCAAGCACAGTTTGTTATAGGCCATAATTGTACTCCCAAAAAATTTGTTCCCAATAAAAAAAAAAAAAAAAATATATATATATATATATATATATATATATATATATATATATATATATAAATAAATTCTCAACCAATATTTGACACAAAAATAATATAAGAGGTTAAAGAATAAAAATAACTATTATTCATATTCTGGAAAATTTTAAACTCTTCCGACAAATCATTGCTAAAAATAATAGGTGGGCAATATGCACCGATAAATGCACTGAGTTCGTACTGCCTGTATATATAATATATGTAATATAATATCCAACATTGTATTGCTATTAAAATGAGACTTCCAATACTCAGAGACTAACATATTTAGTTAGAATGTTCATAGCATTTGCTTATAAGTCAAGCCAATCGAATATAATTGATTGATTGAAATTAAAAATAAATATGAAAATATGATTCTAAATCAACTCAAGTTCGCTTTTCACCTATTAGCTAACAAATTTAGCAATTTTTAATCGGAAATGGATATGCTTTTGGCCATGTCCGTTGACCCTAAGCAATGACTAATCGGCACACAAAACATTTTTTATCGCATGCTGTAAGTCTCATAAATCAACAAGTCTCAGGAGGAGCAGAGAGGGAGAGTGAAGAAAAATGGGGGAAAAAAACCATGAAGGAAAACCAAAGCTGAGGCCAAAAAGAAAAGTCGAAAGGGAAACCAAATAAGCCACAAAATGCGTTTTTGTGTTGGCCGACTTACTGGCTGGATTAGAAGGCTCAGAAAGCTTTTAAGGACTTAGTGTAGGCAGGTAAGCACAAAGCAAAGAGAAATTTTTGGAAAAAGTAAACAATTCTGTTTATGTGCCCACGTCTGTGTGTGTGTGTGTTGACAACGACAACAGAGCAGAACAAACGGCGCAAATATTTAAACAATAATATCAAAGTTGCTAGAGATGAGCCCAAATTTAATTGCAAATAATCTGCACCTTGAAAATTTTAAGCCACGAAAACGATTATATGCCAAAGTGCCAGGGTGTGCGTGTGTTTGTGAGTGTGTGTGCATGGGTGTGTATGAGCAATCATCATATATGTATGTATATAGTAAGTACTATAGGCAGGCAAACAAACACATGAGGGCGTAGCCCCGCCCACACACACCGATAACTCCCTCCCTGGCAGGACACGTGTGTGTGCTTTGTATGTCTTTCTTTACCCAATTGATTTATGACGCTTGTTCTGCAAATTGCCAAGGATTTGCAGCAAGGATTTCAGTTATTTGTCAACAGCTTTGATTTTAATGCCTTCTCTCTCCCACACTCTCTGTCTCTCTCTCTCTCTCTCTCTGTCGGCATTGAGGCGGCCTGAACAAATAATCTTTACTCGTGAATTGAATATTTAACTACCCCAAGCGCAAGCAAACGAAATCTAATATCATAATTTCGTGGGGATCAACATTGATTCAAGTATAAGAAAACCATGTGATGAGCTGTTGCAGAGCGGCCCCCCGCTCATTGCTGCAATATGAAGATATTATTGATAATAATAATGAAGTACTAATAATGATTAACTGTGTGATAGTTGACGACTGACGGTAAAGTTGTAAGTAAAGGAGAAATGGAAAATGGATAAGAATCATTCATGTATTTCTGAGTCTATAAATTTAGAATCTATCTCTATGTTTATTTACTTCTGTCTCTCTTTATATTTAAATATCTGACTTTCTATCAATTTATATCCCTCTTATTACATATTCATATTTCTATTTTTATCTTATTAGTCCACTCACAATCTCTCTATATCTCTATTATCTATTTCTATATACCCCTTATTCACTCTCTCCCTCTCTCTCTCTCATTCTATCTATCTATCTCTTTTTCTCTTTCTCCTTCTGTCTTACTGATTATTTGTATATATCTCTCAGTTTATCTTCCTCTATTCTGCTCTCTCTCTCTCTCTTTCTATCCCTTTCACTGTCTCTTTCTATCTAACTCTCTCCGTTTCTCTTTTTCTATCTTGCTTTCTCTTTTTCTCTCTTTCTATCTATCACCATCTTGTAATCTCTTTCTCTGCTATCTCTCTTTCTCTCTCCTTCCCCCTCCTATTTTCTCCTTCTATCTGCCTATCTTTCTATCTCTCTCAAATTATTTTTTTCTATCCTGCTCTCTTTCTTCTTCCCTCTTTCTATCTATCACCATCTTTCAATCTCTTTCTCTACTCTCTGCGTCTCTCTCTTTCCTTCCCCTACTGTTCCCTCCTTCTACCTACCCCCCTCTCACTCTACCACCTAAACAACCTTTTTAACAAACATCTACATCTATGCTTAATTCATTACCTTTCTATTGAGAAGATCTTTGCCTTCAACAAAATTTCGACCTGTTGCGCTCTTCATGCCCGAAAAGAAAAACACACGCTGAGACTCAAACCCCAAGATATTCACCCACAGCATTTTCAGCTTGAAAAAACACAGCAGCCATACGGACCCAAAACCAAAAGCAAATTGGGCACGCAACATTTTCCGACTGAAGGCGTGTCCTCTGTGCACACACCAACACTCACACAGAGAGAGAGAGAGAGAGAGAGAGAGAGAGGGAGAGAGAGAGAGATCCTGGTCTCCCCTATTCAAGTTAAGGTGTCAGCTCGTAGAAGTTTCCTTTTTTTCCTTCGCTCGTTATTTGGATATGGTATTATTTTTGTTTTTCTTTTTATTTGGAAGACACAAAGTCTTGCCTTTTTGACGCCGGCTTCTTTTTAACACGGGGGTCTTGACTTTTGGCCAGGCATTTGTCTTTCCATTGCTTTGACTAATGGCAGGCGGCTTGCTCGACTGGGTGGGGGAGTGGGGAGGCGGAGTGGAGACGTGTGCGCTCCACTTTTTTTCCCCTTGTCGTTTGTCTTCTTAGGCAGTTTTTTTTGGGGGGCTCTGGCTGTCGGCTTCGATTGTTTGCCATGGCTGGAGCGCGAATGGCAAGGAGCGTGAGTAGATTGTTCAGTTCATTTTGCGGCCGTCTTAAATGGCCTGAGAGAGTTGTGTAAATAAAAACCTCAACGTTGCCCACCCAGAGCTTAACTCGCTATCTTTATCGATAATGCTGACGCGTGTGTGTGGGGTGCCGTGCTCTGCTTTGCTCTGCTTTGCTTTGGTGTGGGGCTTTGTGATATGATGCGATGGCAAAGTTATCGACATGAAATTCGCTTTTGGCGGCAAAAAACTCTCGTAACAATCGCCAACTGACACCGACACAGCCCCTACTAATGTCTGGCTCTCTCTCTCTCCCTCTCTCACTCTCTCCCTGTCTCTCTCACACTCTGTGTGTGCGTGTGATTGCGTGCATGTGCATGGCACTTTGCTAATTAAAAGTGTAGCCTCGCGCAGGGCCAAATAAATCGATGCATGGGTAATTAAATTGCATGACGCACGCACGCACACGATACCCAACGGCGGGCATGGCCGGGCTGTGTTCATGGCGGTGAATGTGCATTTTCTATTTTGCTATTGTAATTAGCAGGCGACAGCAGCAGAAGCTAAAACAAAATGGCCGCCGCAGAGCCGGGCGCAACGCAAACGCACAAATCAATCATACGCACCGACTGCCCCGGCCCGCCGCCAGCCGCCGTTGGCTGCTGGCCAGGGCAAGTTCTGGGCAAGCTCTGGCTCTCGCGCCTAAGAATGCTGCTCAGCTGCATCGACACCAAATTAATCAAATGAATCGCGCAAACAGTCGAAAAAAAAAAACCATAAAGAGAATTTCATATGACAATAGAAAGGCAAATCAAAATAACAAACATAATTTTCTATCTATCTCAGCCTTTTTCTTCTTCTTCTTCTTTGTTATTCTCTGCGAACGACACGCGATTCGGGCTGGACGAGTGAGCCATGCCAGACAGGCAGCCTAAATGAATGGAAATTTACAATTAAACGCCTCAATGCGAATGCATACGGCAAATGGAAAAGCTGGACAGAGAGTGAAAGAGACAGAGAGAGAGAGAGAGGGAGAGAGGCTGCCCCATGAATGACAATGCATGAATTCAGTGACACATGCGACAGACTTTGGTGCTGGACGTCGAACTCCTGTCCAGTCCTGTCCAGTCCTGGCCTGGCCTGTCCTGTCCTCTCCTGTCACAAATGCCGCAGTTAAAGCTTTGGTTTGTGCGGTTTTACCGCTGCGGATGCGTAAGCTTTGCCACCCACTCTTAACCCAGCTCCAATCTCGCCCTCATCCCTTCTGTCACTCTCTCGTCTGACCATTGTCGTCATTTTCATTGGAAATTGAGAGTCTAAGGCTGCAGGTATTGGGCTAGTTGCGGATAGAAGCAGCTAACAGATACCCATTTGGTAATGCTTCTGCTCCTTCTGTACGTTATGCGAATAATGTGATTCTTATTATTTATGCTACTAATTTCTACTCCTACTATCCTTACTACTATTTCTATAACAACTTGCAGCTAGCAGATACCCATTTGCTAATGCCTATATCTGGATTATATGTGAATTATGTGATTCTATTTCTATTTATATTTCTCCTACTAATTCCTAAAAGTACTTCTATTCGTACTACTATTTCGATTTATACTCGTATACCCACTCGTATTTCTTTTCTATTCCAACTTCGATTTCGATATTCCAACTCATATTTCTCTTAATACTCCTATTTATTTGCCTACTCCAATTCTTACTTTTATTTCCTTGCGCATACTCTTTTTTTAATGCCACTTCCATTCTACTCCTATTTCTTTCCATATCCTATTTATTTTCCTACTCTTACTAATTTTTCTACTCCTAATTCTATCACTATTTTCCTACTCCTAATTCTACATCAACTTCTAGCCCTTCTTTAGCAGTAGGAGTCTTTTCCTAGTTCAACTTTCATTTTTATTCCTACCTTTTTTTCCTACTCCCATTTCATTTGCTGCACCTGCTCGTACACATATTCCTACTCCTACTACTATTCTTAGTCATATCTATAACCTCCGCCTCCTATTATTTTTACTCCTCATTATTTTCATACTAATTTTTCTACTCTTATTTATTTTCCTACTCATACTACTACTTTTACTCTTTTCCTACTGCTACTCCTATTATTGCTTCTACTCGTACTCCTCCTACTTCCTACTTTTTTCTTATAACCAATTCGATTTCTACTCGAGCTTCTAATCTCCCTTCTGATTCTTTTCCTATTCCTGCTCCAACTTTTGCTCTATGGTTAATGCATCTCCAAAGTCCTTTATGGCACATAACCTCCTGCCTCTATGTTTACCTCTTACATATCTTAAGATCAGCTGGATCATTCAATGGACTGAATGGATCAACCTACTTATATTCATTTTTATAATTGTATCATATCGTCATATCATATCATCAATATATTAACCTCTCAACCCCTTTAAAATTGTTAAAGTAATACGTTTCCGTGATTAGTTACCCAACTTTGAACCCTTAACCAAAGTCCATTTCGCTGATGGAATTAACCCGCAATCTTCTTCTCTTGACAGTTTATTAAACACTTTAAGCAAAGGTTTCTTTGGTATGAGCAATTGGTAGTGGCGCCCGGAACTGATGTCAAGACTTCCGAACTCGTCTGCTAATGAACTGCTGACAATTTTGTGCGGCGCTTTACAAGCGGATACAAAAGGCTATAAAAGGATAGCTGCGTGAAAACACGAAAAAAAAAAGAAAAACTGAAATGGGGGAAAAAAATTAAAGATAAAAAAGGATGCCAGAGTGCAAAAAGTGGCTGAATAATCCTTGAACAAAGGAGATGGCGTCGAGAGCAAGAGAAGAGCACACTCAAAACTTTTGCCACTCAGCCGACAGCCACGAGCAGGGGGCGATAATTGAACAAATTGTTTCGAGTGCATTTCGGCCACAAAGGAAAGGCCAAGCCCCGCCCAGAGCCGCTCTCACTACAAGCAGCTGCCTCCGATTACTGTGCACACACACACACACATACGCAATGACGTTAGTATATAGCATATATAAATGTAGGTAGGTATATAAAGTATTTCTAGTATGTGTAAGAGAGGCATTTTTGATTACTAAAAACTGTGAGCCATAAACAAGTATCGAATAATTAAGATGAATATTCCACTCAAACATAAACATCATATTTCCTATAACACTATCCTGATTCTATGTTTCTCCCACGGCTTTTGGAGCTTAGGACGTAAGTCCTCTCTCGATAGTCTTTTGTATGTTTAGAGTGGCTCTAAATGACCCAATGCTCCCTCGTAGTACAATTGTAGATCAAGCCGTAACATGGATGTATACATAGAGAAGAATAAAGAGACTCAAATAATACTGTCTTTATACTGAAAAGCAACCTAATTGCAGCTGAAATAGTATTCACCTATTATGTTATTATTATTATTCCCTGTAAAGGTTGTTGACAAATGTCGTTTTATTCTATCTGCCTAGGGTTTTGTTAGCAGAAATTGTAAAAATATTGAAATCGTGTATCGATTTGCTTTAAGACTTTTTTCTTTTTTTTTTTTTTTGAGTTCAGCAGGCAGCATTACGTCTTCGCCCAATAGATCAGCCTGTTAGATATTTATTTATGTTTATCGATAGATCAATGCATTTGTCAGTTTGCTTGACTGTAACCTATCTCATACGCTAGGGTACTGGAAGCTAATCTTAGATACTTTTTGACATGGTATATATATTAGTATTCAAGTTGTTTACAGATCAATAGAAATACATATACAGTAGAATCGGGTTATAACAACTCCGCTTGTAGCGTCTGTACGGTTATAGCGACGAATATTCTGGTCCCTAGACAAACTTATTATATGAGCAAACTTATACGGGTATAACGGCGGTCCCTGGAGTGTCGTTATAGCCGGATTCCACTGTACTTAAAGAATGAAATCATATAGGTTTGAATATTTATTTACTTAGTTTTTCTAAAATACCTTGAACTCATTGAAAATGGGAAAACAAGGTATAATGGTTTTGTGAAAATGTATGTAACAGGCAGATGGGGGCGTGGCAGACCCCGCAAAATATATATATTCTTGATCGGGGCGACGAGCTGAGTCGATTTAGCTCTGTCATTCTGTCCTTCCGATTAAATTAAATAATGAAAATCGCTTATCAAATCAGTTATAATATTAAGTCTCCTATGTCTTCAGTACCTTGAAGAGTTCAGGGAATCTCGTAATCGAGCGATCTCGACTTGTCTTACTTGATTTTCTTTTTCCTCAACTCACCTCGGCCGCTGCGTCCCACGAAGCGCAGGTCATTGAACTTGGCCACCTGGTTCTTCATGACGGCGGTGCAGTTGCGCAGCTCGGCGCAGTAGTTCTCGTCGTTGCCGGCGCGCACCGTGACCATGGTGCCGTCCATGATGTCGCCCAGGGAGACCACCTTGAAGGCCACCGGCAGCGTCTTGTTGGAGCGCCAGTGCGGCGGCAGGACGGTGCAGACGAAGAGCGGACTGCTGGTTCTTATCAGCTCGCCGGGATGCTCGGTGAGGAAGTCGCCCAGCGTGCGCTCAGCCAAAATGTCCGAGGTCATTTTTGTGTAGGCCTCGTTCAGCAGCTGGGCGGGTGTGGGCGGTGTGTTTTGCTCTGTGTTGTTGTTGTTGCTGCTCGAGCTGTTGTTGTTGTTGGAGCCATTTGTGTTGCTGTTGTTGTTGTTGTTGTTGCTGCTGGCTGTGTTGTTGTTGTTGGCTGTGTTGTTGTTATTGTTGTTGTTGTTGTTGGTGTTGTTGTTGTTGGAATTGGCATTGGATGCCGTCGAATTACTGCTCGTTGTTGTCAAATGCATTTTGAGACTGTTGTTGTTGTTGTTGTTGTTACTGTGGTTGCTGTTGTGGTTGTTGTGGTTGTTGTTGTAGTTGTTGTTGCTGCTGTGATGCTGCTGCTGCTGCTGCTGCTGCTGCTGCTGGTGCTGGTGCTGGGTGCTATACAAATTGTTGTAGGGATGCTGATGCTGTTGCTGCTGTGAGTGGTGCAAGTGGTGCGTGTGGTGCGAGTGGTGTGTGTAGTGCGTGGCTTGCGGCTGCGACTGCGGCTCCTGCTCAAACTGCTCCAGATGTCCTTGAGCGTGAGCCTGCACTTTTTTTAATCGAACAATTTTGTCTGATTTGACCACACGATGTAACAATAAGTATGCTCGCTCGCTCAGCTAGCTGCAAAGATAACAAGCATATATTCATATTTAGTAAATAGCAAGCAAGCTATATAGTATATACATATATTAGTCTAATATTACACAATCGATATTAAGCTGATATTAAATATGGGTCTAGTAGTCACTAGACTAAATTATTAAAACACTTTTGAAGCTCATAATTCTCAGTACTATATCATCATATATCATTTATGGTATTTTTATATCTATACTATACTTTTTTTTATAAAATGAGCGTAGACTAGAGCTACACGAAAGAACTGATATGAAATGAGACGGTGAAGTATGAAGGATATTGCGGTCTGGCAGGTGATTAAGTTGAGATCTTGTAAGTCTGTATATGGAAGGATGAGATGAAAGAGTGAGTGACTGAGTGTTCTGTTTGATTGAAGAGTCTTGAGTAGAGTTGAAGATGTAATTGCATTTGAAGGCTTTTATGATGTCCTCATTCCAAATAAATCAGAAACCAGTGAGATTCTTTTATTAGTTCAGTTGTTTTTCTTTATGAGAAAAATAGCAGTTATTCCACAAATGGAGAAGCCGTAGCTCCATATAGACTGAATTCATATTTTTGTGAATTGCATAATTAAAAGGCAATTTTCTTTACTCTACAAAATCTCCCTATTTCGTACTTTTTCAAAACTGCAATATATAACAAAAAATTTAAATTAAATTAACTCATTAAAGTAGAAAGAACTGGCAGTAGAACTCGAATAGGTTCAAAATGGCACACGCAAATTATAAATAAGTAACTAAATAAATAAGTACTAATGAATTCTACTATTATAATTAAATAAAAAATAAATAATAATAATAATATTATTATTATAATAGTATATATAAAATAAATATTATATCTAAATAGCTGTTGATTATTGGACGGATTATTAATTAGATAAGCACTTAATTTTTTTCATACAATTATCCAGCGATTCATACTTTTTTTGTACTCATTATAAGCTGTTGATTAATTTAACAAGTCTCATACAATTAACTTTTATTTAAAAACAATATTATGTATATTTTTATTTATGCATTAGGAATAAGAATCAATCTAAAATTCGGAATTAGGCACTGGCAACTGAGCCATTCGGCTTGGCAATATTATATATATTATACACATTTTTATATATGTTATACACTTCTGGTTTTCCCACATTGACAATCGCTGTAAAATGCGTGAAATTCGTCTATTTTAGCACCATCAACCTCAATGGGTCTTGGAGTCTGTGCTGTGAGTTGCACTTGAAATTGACTTCAATTTCGGCTTGTGTTGTCCATGAAATTCGGGCGGCCATCATGTTAATGTCTTTAAATCACAGCCAAGCGGCAGTTTGCATGACGATGGTGCATGGTGCATGGTGCATGGTGCATGGAGCATGGTGCACAGTCCGGCTTTGAATCCGTGCAATGGCTGACTGGCTGGTTGGCATCCAAGTGAACAGCCTGGACATTGCACATAAACACAAATCAATTGTCAACCACTCGACGCGAGGGCGCAAATGGCGTCCACACTGAGGACACACTGAGGCATGGCCTGGCATGGCCTGGCATGGCGTGGCATGGCAGCGTTGAATGTTGAACGTGCAACCTTTAGCGGAACGCAATTTGCGTTGCACTTTTCAATTTCCTGTTGCGCGACAAAGGACGCTGCAGCGGGGCCAGCAGACAGGCACAGGAATAGCAACAGGAACTGGCACAGGACATGCGGCTAGATGTGGCATGCAACTATCCAAACGCAAATCTAGTCCTCCTCATCCTCATCCTCGTCGATGCATAGACAGCGCCTCGCTCGCACTAACCAGTGTCAAAATGATTGTGGACTCACGGGTGAGAATTTGTGGTTTGATACTTGCATATTTTGTCACTTGTCGACACACTCGACTCGACTCGACTCGACTCGACTCGACTGGACTGGACTGGACTCGACTGAACTCGGGCCGCCCAATGTGCGACATCACCATCATCATTAGTCAGTGCCAGTTTTTCCATGGCAGCTCAAATGGACACGCACCGGAGCAGCCCCAGACGGCTGATGGCGGCGTCGCACACGTCGGGATGGGGCTGACCGCATCCGCTGACCTTGTAGGCGGAGTATTCATTGTTGCTGGTCATGTAACAACTTTAAAATTCCTAGCTGCTGATTTCTTTGCATGATGAATCCACGAGTCCAGAGTCCATGCCCATGCCCATGCCCATTCCCATTCGCGTTCTCATTCCCATTGTCAGAGTTCAGCGATGCCACAAACAGTTGTCCAGTTGTCCAGCTGCCAAGCTGCCCAGCTCTGGCTGGCTGTCCAATTGTCCTGCCTCCCATTTGGCCCCGTCTCCAGTTGGCCGATAAAAATTACTTAAAAATGCCACAGCTCATGGGTTGACTTTTGGCCAACGAGCACAAAAAACCGACAGCTGGCAATTGGGATCGGGATTGCGACGGGGTCTGGGCTCGGGCCATGGTGAGCAGCGCGAAAGGAAATCGCGGCGAAAATCCAACGGAAGCCAAACGTGTCGGCGTGTGGGCAGCAAAGCACCAAAAAGCAACAAGAGAAACATCAGCAACAAAAAAAAAAAAAAAAAAAAAGAAGAGACACAAAATAACAACAACAACAGCAGAGGAGGAAAATGGACAACGGTGTCTGCCTGCGTGTCGCAGCCATTTCGCCAGCCAACAGCCTCCACCACCCAGCCTCCATCCTCCATCCTCCAGCCCCGACAGCCAGGATAGCCATGCGCCATTCCTCATTCACCATTTGCCTTTTATTGTAAATTTACTTTATAAAGGTTATTACCAGGCCATATGGAGCAGGGGACAGAGCGCGACAGTCGTGCCCGGGCAACAGATGAGTCTGGCCTTGCGGGGTGTTTAATGACCGAATCAATGGCGGCCAAAGAAACAGGCATTTCCGTTCGCCCATCTCGCGGTGTGGATGGCCCTCGAAAGACTTTCGTCTTAAAGTGGCTCTGATGATCATTAGTGGTATGGTAATTATTATTATGATATCTCTTGTTCTTTTCTTTTTTCTCATTATATCTTAATAGGTTAAATTCAAGGGAATCACAATGGAATAGGTTCGGACAGCTTAATGCTTAAGAGACTTTACTCTCAACTTTCATAGGATATAAATTGACTCTGATGATCAATAGTGTTACTATGATTATTATTGTAATATCTTATCTTTCCATCATTATTCTCCTTATATCTTGATATGTTTATTATTTTGTAGAGAATCACCTTCGAATAGGCTCGAAAGGCTTAATGCTTAAGAGACTTTACTCTCAACTTTCAAAGGATATAGATTGACTCTGATGATCATTAGTGCTATCATGATTATTACCATAAAATCTTTCAATTCGCATTGTATTTTTATTATCTTCCAGATTATATTCTAGAGAATCTTATATGAATATACTCAGAACTTATTTTTATAGTGAGGCGTATCCCAACGGCTTGAAAGACTTTACACATAGACAGAGAGTGACTCTGATGATCATTTTCACTATCTCAGTGCATCTTCATTATATTCGGAAGTATCACAGTATGTGGATCGCTTCTTATGCCAGTGAAGTGTATCTGAGGAGTTCTCCAAGCTGTTTAAGATGGCTTAGAGGCTTTACTTGCGGATCTAGCATGGACGTAAAGAGACTCTGATGATCTTCATTATTATTATGTAGCATCATTATGTTTTGTTTTTTTTTTTTTATTTATTTATTTATTTATTTATTTTTTTTTTTTTTTTTTGCTGCTAAGGCGTATCGCAGGCGTGTCGATATTATTGGATTAACTTTGTTGATCATTATTAACATTATTATATATCATTATATGATTATTTTATTTTAAAGTATCACAAGGAGAACTTTACTTTACTAGCGAAATTTATCTTCGAATTACTCTGACGATCATCATTATCATTATGATATCTGCTTATATAGCTATAGCTAAATCTGCTAGCAGTTAGTCAAGCTGTCTAAGACGACTTCAAAGACTTTACTCTTATCTGCAGCAGAATGACTCCAATGATCATCGATGTAAGTGCTCTACTTGATTATATCATTATTATATGCGAATGTTTGAAGCGCATCTCAGCTGTTGGCCAAGCCGCACTTTATTCAATTGCGAGTCGTGAGCAGCTGAAACTCGGAGCGAAAAGCGCGCCATAATCCGGGCTTGCTGTCGCCAACGATGTCAGCTGGAAGCTGGGGCAGCGGGCGACGCGTGGCTTGCCACCTTTTTGTTGTTGTTGTTGTTGGAGTTGCCCTTCAAATTTTTTATGCGACTGACTGGGCTCCTTTTTTCTAGCCACGTTATGGCTCTGGCTTGGGGGCTAAATCAAAATTCATGGTTTTGTTAGAAAACGACGGAGCTGCTGCTCAATCGTGCAATGGTATCAATAGCGGGAAAACACAAAGAGAGAGAGAGAGAGAGAGAGAGAGAGAGACAGAGAGAGAGACGGGCACACACACACACAGACAGCTACATAGACGGTTTACACGCAAGCTTAACCCTTTGATGGCCCCACACACATGTACAACATGTAAATTGTTTCAATTTGCGGCATTTGCCGTAAAGCTGCGCAATTTTCAACATGCCATGGATATTGTGAGAGTTTGAGCTGCCCTCTCACTCTCACACTTTCTCTGCATATGTGTGAGCTCTTTGGACATTGTGTAAGTGCGTGTGTGTGTGATGTTCTTTTTT